ATGCAGACCATAGAACCAAGAATCATCTTGAGATGGTGTATTCAGATGTGTGTGGGCCCATGCAAGTATGTTCTATCAATGGCAATAGGTACTTTGTCACATTTATCGATGATCATAGTAGAAAGCTACAAACATACCTAATCAAAAGAAAGGATGAGATATTTGAAGTGTTTAAGAAGTTTAAGTCCATGATGGAGAGACAAAGTGGTTACAAGCTCAAAGTGCTCAAAACGGATGGTGGAGGTGAATATATCTCAAATGACTTTGGGAGGTTTTGTGATCAAGAAGGGATTGTATATGAGGTAGTACCATCCTATACACCACAACAAAATGGTATAGTGAAAGAAAGAATCGGTTGATTATGAACGTGGTGAAAAACATGTTAAAGGGGAAGAACTTGCTGAAAGAGCTATGGGGAGAAGCGGTATCCATAGCTTCCTATTTGTTGAATAGGTGCCCTACAAAGAAGCTGGAAAATGTAACACCGGAGAAAACATGGTTTGGATTTAAGTAAAATATAAACCATTTGAAAGTATTTGGTTTCGTTGCATACCGACATGTTCCAGGTCAACTTAGAAAGAAGTTGGATGACAAGGCAAAAATGATGATTCTTGTTGGATATCACTCTACCGGTGGTTAGAAACTGTTTGATGTTGTAAACAGGAGTATTGTGATTAGTTGGGAGATTGTAATCAATGAAATAAAGCAGGTGCAATAGGGTGTAACCGGTTACCAACAGACTATAATTGATTACATGCAGGCTATAATCGGTTACCAGAATCCTGTAACCGGTTACAGGTTCGAAATTTGCAATTATGAGGAAAGTGGAAGACCAGAACAACATGCCGCTGAAGCTCTAAATGAAGAAAATGTCATACGTTAAACAAAGAAAAGGGGTGTACCTCAGAGACTCCACGATTGTGAATTATTCTGAAACAACGAAGTCAATGATGATGGTGATTTTGTCCATTTTGCAATCATGTCCGAATCTAAACCTGTTTGTACGAAAGAGGCCTTAAGTGATCCAAAGTGGATTTGTGTTATGAAAGATGAACTAGAATCCATTAAGAACAATACTTTGGTGTTAGTTTATCTACCAAAAGGAAAGAAGCCAATTGGTGTGAAGTGAGTGTTCAAAGTGAAGGCAAATTATGAGGGTAAAATTATCAAGCATAAGGCTCGATTGGTGGCTAAGGTATTTTTGCAAAGAGAAGGCATAGACTTTGAAGAGGTATTTGCACCAGTTGCTAGGATTGAAACTATTAGACTTGTTGTTGGTATTCTAAATAACCACAATTGGCCTATCTACCAAATGGATGTCAAATTCACGTTTTTGAACGATCCGCTTGAATATGAGGTACATGTAGGACAACCACCTAGTTTTGTTGTGAAAGACCAAGAGCTGAAGTTCTACAAGTTGAAAAAAGTGTTATATGGTTTAAAGCAAGCTTCAAGAGCTTGTAATAAAAGAATTGGCGGTTTCCTCAAGGATGTTGGCTTCAAGAAACATGTATCCGAGCATGGAGTGTATGTGAAGATAAATATGATTGAAGGAGTAATTATCCTTTGTCTATATGTAGATGACTTATTGATCACAGGAAGCGACAAAAAGTGCATTTAAAAGTTCAGGGGTGAACTTATGAAAGAGTTTGAGATGACTGACCTTGGTCTCATGACATACTTCCTTGGTATTGAGTTCCACAAGTCCAAAATGGGACTGCTCATACATCAAAGAAGATATGCTCTTAAAATATTGAAAAAGTTTAAAATGGAGCATTGCAATGCTACCATTCTCTAGCTGAACCAAGACTAAAGTTGTTTAAGAATGATGATAAGCAAGATGTTGATTCAACTCAATATAAGAGGTTGATTGGATCCATACGTTACATGTGCAATACACGATCGGACTTAGCGTTTGGTGTCGGTATCATGAGTATTCATGGCGAGACCAAAGGTGTCTCACTTCGTAGCAATCAAGAGAATCCTACGCTATGTCAAAGGTTCTGTTGTCTGCGGAATTCTCTTTCCCACAACGGATATGGCCATAAAATGCAATTTGCTCGGTTTTACCGATTTCAACTGGTGTAGAGATTAAGATGATTGAAAGTCTACAGCGTGATACATCTTTATGTTTGGTGCGACACCAATCTCATACTGTTTGAAGAAAGAACCAGTAGTTGCACTATCATCTTGTGGGGCCAAGTACATTGCCAATTTTTTATGTACGTGTCAAGCCGTGTGGCTTATGAATCTATTATAGGGGATGAGCAACAGTGAGGACGATGTAGTCACACTCTTGATTGACAATATTTCCGCGATTAATCTTGCTAAGAACCCAATTGCACATGGGAGGAGAAAGTAAATTGAGATGAGGTTTCGCTATTCGAGGGAACTTGTGAGTGAAGGAAGATTATGATTGGGATATTGCAGAAGTGAGAACCAAGTTGCAGATTTGTTAACTAAGGGAGTCACACATGATATGTTCGAGAGGTTGAAGATGAACATGAGCATGATAGACTTGCATCACTTGAATTAAGGTGATGTGTTGAAATGTTTGAAGTAATTCAAGGTAATCGGTTATCACAGGTGTGTAACCGGTTACAACAAGGTCAGAGATGCATTCCATTAGCAGAAAAGTTGAAATTTCACAGGTGTAACCAGTTACAAATTTTGGTGTAACTGGTTACCACTGAAGCTGATCATCTCACCCTCAAAAAATGTGTTGGGGGAGGTTTTCACTAGGGAGCATTAAACATTGTGAGATTTCTTTTTTTGAGCAATACCTTTGAAAGAGACACACCACATATTCACTCAAAACTTTAAGGTGATAGGTGGGTGGATTTTCTCACTTATAAATGCTTAACTCTCCACATTTTCAACCAATGTGGGACTATTACTGACACTACTAACACTTGCTACATTCTCAACACTCCCCCTCAAGTGTGAGCCCCCAATGCTCCCCTTCAAGTAAAAACTCTTCTTACTTCCAAAAACTCTTGTATCGCACAAGACGTTTCTTACTCACCACCTTTGTGGCACTGTTGACACTCTTCAACGGAACGTTTCTTACTCACCAGTCACCACTCTTGTGGTCCCGTTGACTTTCGATACAAGTAAGTCGCTCCTTTTCTTGAACTAAAGGCTCATGATACCATGTGTTGGGGAAATTTTTCACTAGTGAGCATTGAATATTGTGAGACTTTTTTAACAATACCTTTGTTAGTGAGTGACACTCCACCTATTCGCCCAAAATTTTAAGGTAATAGATAGGTGGATTTTATTACTTATTACTTATAAATGTTTAAATCATTATATTTTCAACCAATATAAAACTATTATCCACCACATTATTCAATCTGCTACATTCTCAACAAATTTGGCATCCGAAACCCCTTTAAAAAATATGAGGATTCATTTCATTGCCTCTTAGTGCACTCTTCTTGAAATTTTCATATAACAACATAGGCCAAATCTAATCAAGTTCATATAATCATGTATATGAGACTGCCTATAGAACTTTTTCAATTCTAAAATACATGTTGCACAATTCGATACAATTGTGAATTTTCAACACTTAAATTAAAAGAAACACATGGTATAACATCTTATATAAATTTATTCATATGCTATTCACAAAACACGGCATTGTGTTTTTTCTTAAAAGCTACTCTAAATTATAAATGATACAAAAAGCAAAGAAGCAATTATTAATTTTAAACCTACTTAATTTTTTAAGTTCAACATTTATTGAGTATCAACAAATTTATTGATCCTTAGCAGCCATTTAATATTTTAAAATATTTTTTTTAATTAGAACTTTTATATTCAATGTATTACTACTTACTTTTTTTATTCATTTAAAAATTTAAACAATATGTTATTGGTTAGTATCACCCAAATCTTGTACAGTTATAATAAATGACTCATTTTGAAATAATAAAATATTTTAAAATTAACAACTTAATGCACAATTCTCAATTCTATTCTTTAATTAATATTATTTTCATTATTTTAAAATACTTTAATAAAAATATTATTTTTTTTCTTTTATTTATTTTTATAATATGTATAAATTTTTTCTTAACCTATATAAAATAGTCAGCAGAATCATTTATTTTAAGAGTAGTACACTTAGCAAACGGATTCATTCTTCGAGAATCAGAAGACAAATCATCCTTCAATATGTTGAAAACAAATATTAGCACAATAATTCATAATTCTTACCCCCTAAAACAAAATTCTTAACTAGTGGACCAAGAGAAGTGCTCAGAAGAAAAAGTTCCGAAATTTTATCATACATATCACCCATTTTTAGCACACAGAGAAGTAGCATAGATAAATTTGTAATAAGATTTATGAATTTTATTCCGATAGGAAAATTTACGAGCAACCTATTATTTTGTTCCTCTTGCATTGGCTAGCTGGTCTCTTTATTCTATTATTAAGCAATAATATGGCCAACTATAAATTTGGTTATTTTTACTTCAAGAATGTGCCAACTCCAAAGCGGGAGGATGATTCCCTTCAATAGCCAAAAAACTTTCCAAGTTTTTATTAAATTAGTTAAAGTTGGTATATTACCTTTTTTCCTTCAATTGAATTCAGCAAAAAGAATACAATAAAGACCAGCTGCTAAACTTTCTAAAAGGTTTCACTTTAGATCTACACATGATCTTTGTTCCAAAGAAAAAGATCCATTAAAATAAAGGTTCATTCACAAGTAATAATAATTGAGAACTACTTTTAACCCCCACTGTTTTCTTAAAAACCGTGCTCTGAATTCTTGCTACCTGTTACAGAAGCAGTTTTTAAGAACCATGGGTGGAAAAATAAGCTCCCGGTAAACAACTTGTTTTTTATGGAATCTACCGGTCAGTCTTTTGCTTATAATACAATAAACAAAAAAAGATTCGAGTTATGCAATAGACATGGATTCATGCACAGTAAGGCGAAGTAACTTAAAACAAAAGTTTAAAAGTGTATATAATTTAATATATTAATCAACCCCTTAAAGAATACTTCTTCCCAGTGAAAGGCTGAAATTTATCTTCTTCTTTCTCTTTGGGGGGCTCTTGTTTTGGTTTTGCCTCAGCTGCCGCCTGCAAGGAGAGAAAATGAGTGTAGCGATACACATATATGTCTTAAATGTAAGAAAGTGCCAATTACCTTTCCGGTCTCTTTACTGCGATTCGGATTTGACCCAAATACAAGTTTTCCTTGAGTTTGAGGAGCATTATTTTTTGAACTAGAAGCTGTAGAAGACTGTGAATTAACATTTGGAACACCGGCATTCTTGTCCTTGGACCCTGAAGAAGAAACTGGTGGAGGCTGATAATTCAAAGGCTTTCCGTCCAAGCGTCTCCCAGATCCAGTAAATGGGTTGAACTTGGGTTCTTCAGCAGGGGTTTCTTTATCTGTAAGGATGAACAAGAGTTGTCAGTCTTGATAATAGAAAGTATCAATAATGATACTGAATAGCAAGCATCACAGTAATGTAAGCACGGCCTTCAACTTGAATGACACATTGTTACATAACTAATATACTAACCAACATTTAATGCCAGCTTACTTACAAAATCAAACATTACCTTCACGCTTCTTAAAGATTTGATGCGCCCTTGATTAAAATAAACAGTCAAATAAAAAGTATGAAAAAGTGAAACAAACGTATTATAAAATAATCTGTCAACTTAACAGAAACTGGCATGAAACAATACTACTTGCCAACAACAACATCTAAGACTATCCTCATCAACAAAGTTTAAATAAAAACCTCCCTCCACTATCGTCAAAGCTCAAACCTAAGATTCTGGTGCTAGTTTAACCTTATCGAGTAAATTTAATAATATCAATATAATACTTCTTGTAACAGACTCCAATGCCAATTATAGTAGCATGCAACACACACACAAAAAAAGGGTGATATCGATCCTATGGAACAGAGAGCAAAATGACAAAGATCAGTCAGTCATACCAACTTCTGGTGCCTTTCCAGCAGAACGTGGAGCAACTGGCTTTTCAGGTTCCTTGTAATCTAAAGGAGGGGCAAAATCCACTTCACAATCAGTTTCAATGATGCTTATAGCATTGGCAGGCTTGCTTTCTATAATATCAATATAATACTTCTTGTTATTGTAAGCCACCATAATGCTATCTCCAGTAGTCAAGCACGAAAAATTCCTCAAAGTAGTTTCTAATCTGCAAAAACAAAAGTCAATTATCTACACAGAGATCTAACTTCAGTCAGTGTTTGAAAGTAAATACAGAGCTAATGGAGATTGTGATGATAGAATTAAACCAACCAAAACCATTAAAAAAACTATAAAAAACGAGTACTTCCCTGGTGAACAGGAATTCATAGACTTGTTACTGAATGTAGTTCTAAACCATAGTTCTATGGAACGATTAGTTCTTACAACTTCTAATATTGCATAGAACATGTTAAGGAGCATGGACGCAAAAAATATCCAACAAGGCAACATACTCTATAAAACATTGTGTTAGGGTGTCCATGAATCTTGTACATTGTATATTTATGAGTTAGAGGAATAAATGTAGGCTAAGTACACAACGGTTGGTTATGCCACTGCATGACTCAATGTCACATGTTTAAGGTGAGAAATCAGCTAGCCAGCACATAATGTAAGACTACATTTTTTTTTGTAATAACAATCATAATTGTACCAGTATACCAACTTTTGGGTGGGGAACAGGTCCAACTCAATAATCAAATTTTAAATTTAGCCCGGAACCAGTTAAACAATTCCTAAGAAAACTGTCTAAAACCAAAAATACAGGTTGTTTACACGGAAAAATGAACCTACACACTTAAGTTAGGATTTTGGGTGAAAGGGCCACGATAACAATCTCTAGACCGACATGACATCCAACATCATTAATGTCATTGAAAAATGATTTTGAAAGGATGCTTCACTTATAAATGGAAGGAGAAACATATTTGGGCTACATCATTACATCCTTGCAAGAGGTATTCGTAAGTTGGGAAATTTCATAGCTTTATTAAACTAAAATTAAATAACATCGACTCACATAGCCTTTGGATTGGAAATATCCAAAAAGTCTTTTGTGTGAGGCTGTAACTTAACATATGTTCCCTTTGGAAGTGTCACATTTTTCACTCTTACAATGTCCCCCTCTTGTAAAAGCATGTTCTCCATCATCTGAAAGAGTCCATGAAAAGCAGTTCAATTAAAGTCAACTCAAAGGAGAACCATAAAAAGTGAAACAAGCTTACGAGCATATTCAAAAACAATTACTTTTGAATTCTTGCCTAGTATATTCAAAACCAATTACTTATGAATTCTTACCCAGTATGGCATGTATATCATGCCTTCCTCTGCAATGAACTCCAGAACACCACAATGAGAAACTCGCTCAGCAGCATCATTACGAAGTTCAAACAACATTGGATAATCAATATGCAGAGATGCTGCAAATTAGACTTGAGATTAGTATTGAAAACTCATAATTAAGATACATATTCACACGGGAAACAAATGCAAAATAAATAGCATTCCAACAGTGACATAACTAACCTAGACGATCAAGGGCTGACGGCGGCATTATAACTGAAGCACAACAATAATTTAATTTCCATATTAGACAGGAACAAATAGAACAAATTATTCAAAAAAATTAACAGCTAACATGGACATTGAAACTTACTTTTGTCACCACTTTCAAGTTGAGGCTGCAGGATTGATATGCAAAACATAATAAGACAAGAAAGTTAGAATTGTTTTTCAAAATAATTGATTTAAACATTTATTGATGTCACTACTCATGTTAACTAAGTACACTTCAATTGGATATATTTATTTTTTTCCTTTAGATTTGACATTTCAAGCTTCAATATTGTTTGATGATTTTATGAAATATTTGGTTTTAACACTAACAATGCTAGACCCTTATACAATTGCTTTTATAGGTCAAAGCCACTTTGACTGAGTATCTTTAGTTTCTTTCATTAGTTTTGGAGATTGGATTCTCTAACTTACATTCCTCTAGCTTTCTCTCTATCTCTCTCTTAATTTACTCTGTCTCACCTATTTTTCCCTCCAAAATCATCACCAATATCTCCTTGATTTCTTCCAATTTTTGCCTAAAGTTACTCTAACTTCACCTCCCAAAAGTTAGAGAATCCTTGTCCTTAGTTTTGACATTTTATGCTTCAACATTCTACATTTTCTACTATCCTCTAAATTTGTCTTTGAATATCTTATGGTATTTAAGAAAATATGAAGGAGCGTTAATACTTTTAACTTTCGATCAAAATGGGATTTCAATCTGCATTAACAAGTTGACAATTCTGCCCATAATTCATTTTTCTAAAGTAAATGTTAATCTCCCTGAACAACTACAAACTTTGGGTCATACAATTTCATTTTCATAACCCACGATAAATAGGATTTTTGCTCTCAAATGGGCCCACCAAGGCATCTGCACGCAACTTAGACCCTTTAGGCCTGCTATGGGACTGATAATCAATTCGACCGCTTAGACACACAAGAATTAACCCTGTGGACTTGGCAACATTCCAACAATGATGCCTCCTAGAAATCGAACTTGGGTTATCTTATTGGTGGTCAGAGAAACGCTTTTTAAAATTTATGACGAACACTACTTAATCAATGTATAGGAACGCTAACATAAGCTCCCATCTATTGCAGATGATATACACTGGAAAGAATAGCTGAAAATGTGTAGAAATAAGAAATAACTTCTGCCTGAGTTTAGTGACACAGTATATTTAACAGTGGCAATGAGCATAAAACCCAATGAACAATCAAGATGGAATTAACTGTCCCTAAACATTTTCAAAATCCAATTAACTGTCCCTAAACATTTTCAAAATCCAATTACATAAATTAGATAGCGTTGTCAGTTGCAGATTGCAGAAAATAGCATATTGTTAAAATTCTGCTATGCAATAGTGCCGCTAAGGTAGGTTATTTGACATCATTGGTACTAAATGGCTTATTGCAGAACAATAGTGGTATGGCGCCGCTATAGCAGCTATTTAACAACATTGACATCAGAAATAGATGCCTAAGAAATATGCTAACCTTTTCGATAAAAGAAGCAGGGTAGCATCGATAAGTCTGTTCAAACGACGTCCCGTGATATCCATATCCATCGAAAAACTGTGTCAAGAGTGCATATTCACTAGTTAAATTGTAATATGCAACAAATATCACCACATCTTATAATCTTCAGTTGGTTTCCCATTGTCAAGAAATTATAATTTGAAAAGAGAAAATCAAAAGAAAAAACATTTGTGGGAATCATACCATTTTCTATTGTGTGGACTGAAACACAGGATTATCCCTGTCAGAGTAAACTTCACATGAGTCACTCATAGAAAGAGAAAATTCTATAATATAAAACAATGAACTGACTACAAAATTCATAAACTTAACAAGCAATCTCCACTAAACTCATGAAACAAGCAGTGAAATCAATAAAAAATTGACGAAAAAAAGAAGCAATTAGGAAACCCTAAAACCCAGAGCATCGCTCTCGCAGCGTAGAAAATAGAAAAGTGGAAACACTATCATCGTGATCATTCAAGAAACAGGTGAAAATTAAAGTAAATAGTAATAAAAATTGAGAAAGCATCGGAGAAAATAGAGGATTAAGTAGGATCCATAAGTGAAAGATAAAAATTGCAGAGTTAGGGAGAAAAACCTGATGAAGATGATGGTTTGATCTGAGAATTCAGAGAGAGAGGAAGACGAAACGAATATAAATAAATAATAATATTTGGAGGAGTGTTGAAACAGATGAATGAAGAGATAGATGGAAGAAACAAAACCCAACCCAACCCAAAAAGATTCATTCAGTAAGGCGCACGCTGTGTCGTGCTGTGTTACGTGGCACTAACGATGGGCTGGGCTTTTCTTGAAATATAAAATCCAATATTTAGAACATTTGTTACACATCATGCAAATTTACTATAAAATGTAAGAAGTCTGGTTAAACCTGCGGTAGGGACAAAATAAGTAGAGTTTAAAGTTAAAAAATTGGTTAAGTCGAGTGTGATTATGGAGAAAATAATGGATGCATGGAATAGCATAATAAGTTTTTCTACAAAAGAATTATATTCTGATTTCGTCATTCATTTTCAGAAAGTGTGTGAAAAGTATTCAGCTTTGTTGAAATATGTGAAAACATCATTCTTGATCAGGTGAAGGAGAAGATAATTTGTGCGTGGACTGATAATGTTTGACACCTTGGAAATACAATCACCAACAGTGTTGAGTCGACTCATGCTACTTTGAAAAATGTGTTGGGAAATAGCAAAGGGGATTTATGTCGAGATTAAGACTCGATGAACCACATGATTCAAAATCAACATAATGAGATACAAACAACATTTGGTCGGACCATCACAATTTTAGAACATCGATTCAAAGACAACATTCTTTATTCTCATTTGGTCGGCAACATTTCTCGGACGGGGTTGAACTATATTTTTCACGAGGCCAAACAAGATGGTAATGTAGGCTCCGATAGTGCAGAGTGTGGTTGCACTATTGTGAAAACACACGGTCTCCCATGTGCTTGCGTTATTGCTAAAAAAGGGAAACTTGGTGAGCCAATAAGAATGGATGAGGTTTGCTCTCATTGAAAGAGACTTAGTTTCGATGATGATGGATGCATGGATGAAGGTAAATCGAATATCTCTATTTTGACCAAATGGAAAGCGATACAAGAGATATTTTCGAAGGCCGATGGCAATATGAAACTCCACATCAAAGAACAATTGAGGAAAATTGTCTATTCCGAAATCACCGACATGAAACCGCCTTCTCAACCGGTAAAAATGAAAGGTGCTCTGAAGAAAATGAAACCTGTAATGAATGACAACTCGACTACATGGTCTCCTTCATACTTTGAACACGTTGGTAAAGTATTTCCCGACTCACTGAGTTTAAAATCTCAAAAAAGTGTAGTTAAAGGTGCTCGAATTAGCAAACCACCTCCAACACCGCTTCCACCGAAGATTCCATTATTGACGAGATGCTGATTTTTTATGCACAAATATATCGATCGTATCGTCAATGTTGTGGGAGACGCTAATTGCGATTACCAAGTTGTTTCAACTTTACTTAGTAAGGGAGAAGATAGACATGCGCTAGTTCGTCATCAACTTATCCAAAAGTTGAAGACGCATAAGGAATCATACACGTTGTTATACGGAAAAAAAATTTGATGCGGTTTATGAGTCACTTGTTTCTTGCTTGAGCGGTCCGACCGGATTCAAATGGATAAGCTTCCCGGATATGGGTCACCTAATTACATTTGCATATGATAGAGAATGCATTGACCTAACACGCTGTAAGTTCAGAGTATGCCTAAGAGAGGGGGGGTGAATTAGGCTTATAGAGACTTTTTCGTATTTTTGTTGTTCTTTAATTTTTCTTTGGTTATGTTCTTGGTGATGGATGCAGTAGAAAGCATAAAGAAAGTGGACACCAAGATTTATAGTGGTTCCCTTCACAATCCGAAGGTACTCCACTCCCCTTTCCACATGAAAGAGAGTTTTCACTATTGTTTTAGAAAGTACAACCTATCACACCATCAACCGGTGAGACCTACAATCTAACAACAAAACAAACTAGTGTGCAAGAACAATCCTCTTGCAAGACACTAACCCTTGTGTCCAACAATTCTGGATCACAAGTCACAACAGACTATTCTGTAATTCTTCTTATAATTTGATAGTACAATAGTAATATCAATGCAAAGATTGATCTTCTCCTTTAATCAGAATTCACAACTTAATCTCAATACAAGTGTTCAAACAAATGGATGTGAAAGATTATGCAAGTATGAACACTTTTTGAATGTATTTGAAAATTATTTGAAAAGTAGTGAATATGATTCAATGATTGTTTTTGAAAATTGTTGGAGGTGTTTTTTAATTTGAAATTATCAGAATTTATATCATCCAAAACACCATTTCAAAAGGGTATGTTAAAGTAAAATTCAAAAGATGAAATGGTATAACAATTACACAATGTTTGAATTCAAAACAAAGCAATTTTTCAGAAAACATTCAGTGTTAATCGGTTAACCTATATGGTTAATCGGTTAACACTGGAACGTTAGGCCAGAAAATTTAAGTTTTGAAATGGTTAACCGGTTAACCCATATGGTTAATCGGTTAACACTGTTATTTTTCAGAAAAATACTTAATAAAACAATGTTATATCAATTCCAATTGTTTCAAAAACATGTTCATGCATTATGATCAAATAAAAGATGATTTGAACACTTGTATATCAATTAAATTAGAGAATTTTGATATACCATAGCTTGTGTCCAAGTCTTGAAAGATGATCGAGCAAATGTACATGAAGCTTGAATGTTGATCACTTCCATAATACTTTGATCTTGGTCTTTTGAAAGCTTTTGACTTTTTGTACAGATGAAATGATCTTGAGTCTTGTTGTTGTTGTCATCAAAACCTTGAAACCTTGAGATGAAGCATGCTTCTACAATCTCCCCCTTTTTGATGATGACAACCAATTGAGTCTTGTGCAGTGCTTTGACGATTTTTGGTCTTGGTCTTGTTTCTCCCCCTATGTCCATGAACTCCCCCTTTCTAAAAACAGAGGCTAAAAACAGACAAAAAATCTGCACACATAGACATTAGAAAGCCAAATCTCTTATCCCTCTTTGTCATTAGCAAAAAGGAAGGAGCTTTCAAATAAAACGAGAAAATATCAACAATTATGAAAGCAATCAAAAGAATAATCACGTAGGTAAGCAAAACATACTAAAATAGAATTAAACATGTAACAGAGTGCAACCAAAGTAGTGTATGAGTACAACGCAAACGAAACAAAGTTAAGAACATAAACTTAAAAACTTAATAACTAGAAAGCAATAAAAGACAACAACATTAGCATATTCTTTAAATGTCCTCATCAGCCATATCCTCCTCCTCATCTTCTTCTTCTTCACTATCATCTGCTTCTTCAATCTTGTCTTCCACGACCCTGGTGGTTGAATGTTGAGGATTAAGAACAAGGTTGCGGAGAGAGGCAATGGCTCTGGAGGTTTCGCGGTGCATATTCATGGATTCCCTATGCTGGTTCATAATGGTAGTATAGATAAATTCACTGGTTAGTCCTCCTTCGGGAATAGGATATGCTTGATTGGCAGGATCGTCATCTGCATATCGGTATGTTCCGTTAGCTTCCTTGATGATACCCGTATTCTTAACAATGTTGATCTCGTTGATTTCATTTGTGGTAGGTTTCATCTTGGTGGACGGTTCTCTGTTGAGGTCCAATTCGGTCAACTCCAGAATCCTTGAAATCAACCGTGCATACGACAGCCTTGTTATGCAGTGAAGTTGTTGTTGAAGATGGTACATGATAGTCAAAATCCAGTTCACCCTAATTCTGTTCTTGACTGCATATATCAGTTGCATCTCCAAGTCATTAATTTGTGAATGATTTGAATCTTTGGGTATCAGAACATAACAGATCACATAGTGCAGCATTCTATCGGAAACCGTCAGGTTTTTCGCATAACACAGCATGCGGGCGGTCTGAGAGTTTGTTATGACCGTCTCTTTGGGGAATCGGCAGATCTGATAATAGTACTCCATTTTGTCATGGTTTGCCCATAACCCATCAACATGGTTGACACCCTTCCTTAAGAAACAACCTCTTGAAGGTATTTTGAGGTGTCTAGCAATGGTGGACAGTTTCTCAGTAAACTCATGTTCTCTAACCACATAACTGATCATATGATTTTCATCAATATCCAGATATATAGCCAATTTATTCATAAAAGCTTTAACCAAGTCTGGATAAATGATACCAGAGTCTGAAACAAACTTATCTATGTGCTGATACTCAAGCAGTGCAGGGAAATCAAATGAAGATGCTGGAAATGCTTTAAGATTCACATACTTTACCGACAGAAGTTGTCGGACACGAACCTTGAAGTCCATTCGCCTCTTCTTGATAGACTTCATGGGAATGTTGTCGTCTTCAGAAGCAGAAGCATATTCAGGAAGTTTTCCCTTGCCCTTGTGTGAGGATGCCATGGATGAAAGTTTGAGAGATGTTGAGTGATTGGAGTTTGCTGAATTTTTAGGGTTTGAAGTTGTGGGTTCTGAGGAAGTTAGGGTTTGAAGTTGTGGGGGTGGTTATGAGGAGTTATCCAACTTAGATAGTGGGAGAGAGATAGTGGGTTTTAAAACTTAGGGTTGGAAGAGCCAATGTCCAATAATGAGTCAAAGAAGAGGAAGATTTCTAAGGATATGAATTTG